GGTTGTTGGTGAGAGGGTCCTGGCCGGTTCCTAACCTCCTCCTCCCTCCTTTGCGGCCTACTCTTAGGCGGGACAGCGCGGGGGGCATTTTCATGCCTTCTCTCCGGCTGTTGGGGCATCGGAGGTGGGGGCTGTGGCCTCGTCCGAGGCTGCTGAGTCTGCTGTTGACTGGGCCTTGGTTCGGCAAGGCTAATTCTGTCAAAAACACTTCCTGCTCTCCTCTGTCTTGGGTCTTACTCATACGGAGGTGGAAAGTTATCATAGCTCATTTGGACCTCGGAGGGCCGGCCAGATGCATAATTGGAGGAAATGTCAACTCCCACTTCTCTCTCGAATGGACTTTCACCTCGGCCATAGTCTGGCGAGGTAGCCCTATGACTTTGGACCTCGTCCTCTTGCTGATAGTGCCCATGGGGGGCATATGGAGGAATGGAGAAACCTCTTTGGCCTTGCATCTGGGCCATGATCTCCCTCATGGCTAAGTTTTGGTTGGCTATATCCCTCATGTTGGCTGCCATGGTAGCCATTTCTCTTGATAGTCGTGTGGTCGCACGCATCCCACCTCTCCTTTGGTGGTGGTGGAGCCTTTGCCGAGCTGCTGGGACAGCAGGCTGGGGAGGCATATTCGTATTTTCTCTTACCTTCCTTGGGGGAGTATCTTCGTTAGAACTCTTTTTTTTTTTATCAAACCTAGATTTCTCCAAGTGGTAGGGGTTCCTCCTGCTCTTTTTCAAGAACAAATCCTTTTTCAAGGGGGGTTGCCCAAATGTTTTTCAGTAAGCTTTTACCACAAGGTTGCTCGTGGTTATGGTATGGCTTCCCACAGACGGCGCCAATCTGTTGACCCCAAAAAGTGCGCCAACAGATGCCGATCCCACCCGCGCTTGCGTGGACGAATGTCCAACACACTAAGACACGTGAACGGTCTAAAACGAGCAGTTCGAAGGGGCGTGGGAGTAGCCCAACGACGCGGGACGGTGACGTTCGGGATCCAGCGGGTTGTTCGTAATCCGATTGTACAATAATTACCAACCG